AAAATCAGACCTGAAAAAAATCAGGCCTGTACGGGATTCGAACCACTGACCTCTGCGATACTAGTGCAGCGCTCTACCAATTGAGCTAACAAGCCAACTGGGAGCAGGCCGTTAAGTTGATTCGTAATAAACCCGTGAAAGTGATAAATCAGATACAATGAAATATATGAAGTTCATATATTTTGAACTGCGGTATTAGATACGTATGATGCACGATCCTCGCAGTAGATAGCGCTATTTATGCTATAGCGAAAAATCAGACCTGAAAAAAATCAGGCCTGTACGGGACTCGAACCACTGACCTATGCGATACTAGTGTAGCGCTCTACAAATTGCGGTCAGTGGTTCGAATCCCGTACAGGCCTGATTTTCTCAGGTCTGATTTTCTCAGGTCTGATTTTTCGCTATTGCATAAATAGCGCTATCTACTGCGAGGATCGTGCATCATACGTATCTAAAACCGCAGTTCAAAATATATGAACTTCATGTATTCATTGTATCCGATAATCTTGTATTTTACTAATAATTGCTTAAACGATTCTCAGAGTGAATACGTTTTCATCTCTAGCATTTGTTTCTAAACCAAGTAGAAATCTAGAGGTTACCATTTTGAAAACTGTTTTTCAGCACATGGCGATTATGGAAAGATATGATTATATTCCTAGCCAATGCAAGCCATCACCACAATAGAAAGTTTACCCACTCATCCAGTTTGGTTGCATTTTCCCTTGCCAGAGATGACTTGAAATGAGATTATGTACAGTGAATGAAGGATTTGGGGTATTCTTGTATAATGACAAATACCTAACAACACTCTGGCAACAAAACCATGGGAAAAGGAGGGAAATGCGAGCCAAAACCTGTTCTCTTTGTTACAGCTCTACACGAGGAGTACTTTCGATTGACTTAACAGAGGGCTGTTTACATTTTTCTGGTGACGTGCAAGGTGTGTCCCTTTACAACGCCTCTGATGTTGTTCAACCTAACTTTTCTGTTGTTTTGTACACTTGAAAGGCTGGCAGGGTATGTTTCATGTAACCTCTGGCTGAATTAAAATTATTTCAAAGAATGTTAAGTGAATCCCCTTGCTGTTCTTTGAACATCTTCTAAGTATTCATACCCTCGTCTTCTGCACCACGTGTGATTCACCAACCATGAATATGGAAATAACCCGTCTATTGATCTGCTATACACCTTTACATCTACTAAAGTTCACAACTTACTTGATTTAATTACAGCTTGCCAGAGATTTTTCCCTGCCAATTTCAGTTTCATGGTATCCGTTTGACAATATGTATCACTCAATTAGGCACGGTACAGCTTTTTGGAAGAAAGGACCACATTTCACCTACCTTAAGGTCAATACCCTCAGATTTATGGGGCTATGACACATCCGCATAGAGTAAATGCAGCCTTACTATCATATCTTTGAGTAATAGTATTTAAATACAGAACATATTTTATACCTTAACTAATCCACCTTCTGTGTAGTCTGTCCAGGTTGTCCCATCTGTAGATAATTGCAGTGTGTAGTTCTTCACCCACTGATTTGCTTGAGAATTCCCTTGAGTTGACACAGCACAAATGATATGAAGTGTCTGTAGATCAATCTGTAGGTATGAGTTAGCGTCGCTTGTTTCAGCACACCATGATGATCCTGATACGTAGTTCAGTCGACCATTATTGGGTGGTGTGCTGACACTTTTTACAGAAGAAGCAGTTATTTTATCATCTGGAATTGCTCTACTTTCCATCCCAAGGTAGTACTCAACACAGCCTCCTATCCATTAAAAAAATGTTAAAAACATCAAACATGACAAGGCCACATTTTCATTTCTGTACACTGTACTCACGGGTAGTGCAACAGCATAAGGTTTTCTCACTAACAAGCGGAGAAGAGATGCAATTATGCTGCACCACACACTCCACCCAGATTTGCATTTAACATTAAAGGCTAGGATGGATCTTTGTTTGGTGTCATCAAGCTCTCCTTAGTCAATAAATAGAAAGTTTGAAATGCAAAATAAATGTTGACCACAAACTTCAAAACAAACCATCCCTCGTTAATGAATTAATCAAGTATTCAGGTAGGAGAAAACAAATTTCTTAATTTATTTTTGCTGCCACAGCAGAGCGAGCCTGAAGCAAGGCAGCAATTCTTATTCAGTCAGTAGGAATATTGGCTGCAAAATTCGAGATTTTTTCTAACCACAATGCAGTTCGCCGCTGGAAGGAACAATACTTTTGTTTGTTCTAGCTATCCCAAAATAATCCATTCCAATTTCGGCACAAAGCTTCGCAAACTTATGGTCTGCGTCCTCTTCCTGTTGAAGACCCGTTTGCTGGTGAGTTATTGTTTCTCTTTCTCAACTATTTCAACTACAACCTTACTGCCATCACAATTATTATTGCCTTTGTTATCTCTTAGCACACGATTTTGTGTCATACAATATTAACGAAAACAAGGTGAGCTTTCCTCTTAATCTGCCTTCTCGACTGTGAGCTTCATGAGATTTATGCTGAAATCACACTTCAAACATTGTTTTGGAAACATTTTTTCCTTTATTATACTTCGGTATTAACCTTGAAGAAGCCATTAAATTTTCCAGTAAGAAATTAGCTTTCTGATGACCGAGCGCCATGTGCTTGAAGGTGTGAAAACCTTCTTTGCCAGTAGTTATCTATGATTTACCATTCCTTACATCTTGATTTGCTCTCCTTCCTGGCATACCTATTTTTACATCGCGTAAAAAAGTTCAAGCATTCTCGTTCTGAGTTTAACGTATGTTTTTTTGGGAAGATGTGTTGAGCTATGCGCCTTTTAAAGTGCTCTTTGAGAGGTCAAAGGTTTTTCGAGGTGTGAAAACCTTTGACTTAAGTAATGATGAGATCATGGAGATGATCCTCATAGTCAATGCCACCATTGTTTATAATGACAAGCTCAATGTAGTTGCTGTTAAAGGATGATTAGTTGAAACAAACAAGTTAAAGCCTATTCTCGGTTTTCGGCTTAGCTTATACAAATTACATTTCCGCCATGTTGGTGCCCATGTGAGGTGTGAAATTGTAGGGAAATCTAAGCCATTTCTAAGCGCTCGCGTTCAAAGTCTTCAAATAATTCATCTTACTAATGGATATTTCCGAAGAAAGCGACCCAAAATCACACGATGAGGTACCAGTACTTTCATCCTACGTAGATAACCTCGAAAGCCACGTCCGAGAGCGCCATTTGAAGAAAATTTCTGTGGTTGGCGTAGATCCAGCGACCATACCGAGCGAGCAGTTCAGCTCGGAATGTTTGCCTCCCATAGAAGTCTCGGACTTGCTTTCCTATTTAGTTTTAGAGACAAGCTACTACACAAACAAGCAGTTTAAGGCCTTCAAAAGTTTGGACGCGTACAACAAGATGGTTTCTGGTTTCGTTGCGTCCGTTTAAGGGAAGGAAATCGCGGGAAGGACTGTTGTTGTGGCCAAGGTGAGACATTCACAGCGAATGAACGATCCTCTTGTGAACATTCGGATCATTGCAGAAAAGGACGGTACCATTATCTCTGCGAAATCTCTGCAAATCTTGTTTCCACAGTTTTCTAAAGAACTAGAAAAAATTAGAAATTGAATTTATACTATTTAATTCAATAAAGTAATGCTACTTGTTTTCCTTGTATGTGAAATATTCTGACTTTTTCTGGCACTTGACAGTCCAGCTTTTTATTACTTATTATGCTTCACAGTGAGTAACAGAGTGCCTCACCCTGTAGAAAGTACCTCAGCATATCAATCAATGCTTTAAGGGGTGTAAACAGCCTATGAGTTATAAAGTAAATTTTGTGTCTACAAAAAAAATAATGACAATAAAACTGTTAAAAACCACTACAATGTGGCGGCCTGCAAATCTTAAACTACTACACTGTGGTAGCGTGCAAATTTTAAACTACTACACTGTGCCCAAGATTTTTAAATTCAAGGTATGCCACTGGCTATGACTTTGTAAACTACACTTCACAGTTGAATAAATTTTGCAATTTAGTCCTACCCCACTAAGGATGAACAATGACATATGTGAATACCTGTCATGAATGGAAATGTGCATATCTTTTAATTTTTGTTCCTTGGCTGCCTCATTGGGTAATAAAAGTGGTTAGTTTCCAAATGGCAACTTAACTAAAATGTTCTCTTAATGACTTATTACAACCAAATGTACAAATCAAGACCTGGGATCAGTTAAAAAAAAATTTACAGTTGTAATTCATAAGTGTTTCTATTGTTTCAGAGGTTGAAAACAATAGCTATGTACAGTTGTAAATTACAGTTGTAAGTTACACTTGTAAGAATTTTATTAAATTGACCCCTGAATAACATTCAAACAAAACTTTCCCTTTATTTTGTTGTTGTTGTTTTTTTGTTTGCAAAAGCAAAATTCAAAGAAAGTTATACCTATACACCTCAAAGGGGATAGGAGATTTCCAAGGGCAGAGTTCATTACCTTTTTTTACATATAGCTCCAGGTCAACATACACCTCTTCAAAGTTAACTCCAATATTTACTTTCTTTTGCACTTGCAAACTGTTTTCACACTCAGTGGTAATAAACTTACATGTATTATTTCTTGATTTTTACATGTGTCACTTTATTTTCGCTTCATGTCATGTTCATGACAATTATTTTTTGTAACACTTAAATTTTGCAATGTTAAAAGGTAAGGTGTCGCGAAAATGTCATGTAGTTTAGGTATCTTAGAAGCTTGTTCATTAAGCAAATTTGGAAGCAAAACTTTGCAGCTTTAACTCATATCAGGAGTAAGTCATAATATCGTATCCTATTGTATCCTGATAGTTTTCTTTGAGCTGCACTTTGCTAGATTTTTATTACACCCCCTGAAATAAATTTAAAAACACCCAGGTGGCTTAATAGAAGACTTGAGGTATCTAAATGTGAAGTTGATCTAATCAAATAGCATAATTGGAGGACAGAAATTAACACGCGCTGCACAAACTCTTATC